ATGAGGAGGGAATTGTGGAGTGTGAGGGTGGTGAGAGCCTGGCCCAGGTTGCCCAGGGAAGCTGTGGCTGCCCCATCCCTGGCAGTGTTGAAGGGCAGGTTGGATGGGGCTTGGAGCAGCCTGGGCTGGTGGGAGGTGTCCCTGCCCATGCAGGGGGTTGGATCTGGATGATCTTGAAGGTCCTTCCAACCCAAACCGGTTTCAACACTTCTTTTGAAAAGAAGATCCACAGACCTGGTCTGGCACAGGTTACTGAAAAGAAATGTCATTCTCTCTCCTCCCAGTTCATTTTACAGTTAGGCAGTAAAGTGTGTTTTCTCTCCAGACATTCTAACATATATAATACACTTGGTGAAAATATTTGACCTGGAATGAATTGCCTTCTCCAGGAAAAACAGACCTGGTCTGGCACAGGTTACTGAAAAGAAATGTCATTCTCTCTCCTCCCAGTTCATTTTACAGTTAGGCAGTAAAGTGTGTTTTCTCTCCAGACATTCTAACATATATAATACACTTGGTGAAAATATTTGACCTGGAATGAATTGCCTTCTCCAGGAAAAAAAGCAGGCATTGGTGAAATGAATAAGAGCAGTGCCTGGGTCAGAGTTAAGTAAATAGACAGTAAGAGGGGTTTATTTTTCATTCCTGTTTTGTATGTTTAGATTCTATTTTCCAGGTATGTCTGCTGCAAGTTCCTACTGCATGTGAGAGCACTGCAGTTTGGGGAAATGAGCCTTCCAGGGCTTCAGGAAAGCTTTTAACTTTCTTAAAAGCATTTAAGAATATACCAGAAGTGCAGCTATGGGACATTGTTGCTGCACCTGGTCTTTTACCATGATATCAGAGGAAAGACAGCAGCTTCCCCTGGGATCTATTCCCAGCCTCACCCTGGAGCTTTGAGCCCTCCTGACATTTCCTAGGCCAGAAGAATGGTCAGGGATGTAGCTTGGGACTTCACAAAGAGCAGATACACAATAGATTGTTTTTCTCTCCTCACTGTTTAATCTATAGGCCTGCAGAAGAGATTTCTTTGTAACATCTCAGTAGTTTTCCTTCTGAATTTGCAAGTACAGTTTGTGCTGCTTTAGCTAGGAGAAGCTGTCCTGCAGATCTGGTGTCAGGAGGTACCAGGGACTGGGACTCAACTGCTCTGCACCAGTGAGGCCCTGGCTGTGGCTGGTTTACCATCTCATATGGCACATCAGTGCCTTTGCTTCATGTTTCTCCTTTATTCCACCTCCATTTCCTAGGGTTAGTGTCCCAGCTGCTTTCTGAGGGCTCATGCCACGTGGGGGTCATTTGCAGAGGAGCAGTAGAGAAGGAAAATCTTTCATGGTTTCCACTGGTGGAGGCCTGTGTCAGGAGGAGTGTTGGCAAGGTGGCAGGGAGGGCCTTGCCTGTGGTTTTCCATGGGGCCCTTGTGCCTTGTTTGGTAGAGACAGTTTCCTGTCACCAGCAGCACTGGGGGATCTTGCAAGTCACACCTTTTGAGGTGAGAGCAGCAAGACTGAACAAGCAAAGACTGAGGTGTTGCTTGCTTTCCTAAAACAGAAAAAAGCAGCCCCAGAACAGAGCACACATATCATTTCCATCAGAGACCTTGGTTTCATGCAGGCCATGACTCACAGGTCAAACTCCCTCCCCAGCATAGAGGGAAGTCTGACATGGCTGTGGTCTTCAAGCCACTGCAGCCCACCCCAGTACAGTCACTGGGGGTGGGAGATGCTCTTGTGCCATCTCCAGAGGACAGTGGTTCTTGTACTGTGTGGATCCCAGGTGTCCCAGCTACCTGGACAAATCCTGGCATCAAGCACAGTGCATGGTAAGAAGGGGCCACAGTTTCTTGCTAGAAATTGTAGGATGCAACTGAGAAGAATTATTATTTTAGCCATCATGAAGTGCACAGAGAACTTGTGGTGTCTGATATGCACTCAGTGCATCATGTCAGGGTCATCTTTAAACTGGAGCCTATAGAGACATCCTCATTAAGTTATTTTTGACCTGTGGCTGCTGACCTGTGAGTGGGAGCCTGAATTCATTCTGCTGGCCAAGAGCAGCCAGGGGTTGTCAGCAGGTACACACTCATAGCATGGTTGGGGTTGGAAGGGACCTTAAAGTTGAGCTAGAATATAACTGAGAGCTCCTCCAGGCCTGGTCTCTGTCAAACACAATCAGTGGTAATAAAATCTCTGAAGCATGTGGTATTGCAGAGAGCTCTGTCGCTGCTTGGGCACTGAGGTTGCATGTGGCATCTGTGAATGGTACCTCTGTGTGACAGAGGTTCTCCCTGGCACTGCTGCTCCTCTGCTGTGCTTTGTGCTCCAGCATGGGAGGAAAGGAGGCTGAGGGGGGGGTCTCCTCAATGCTGGGCAATATCTACAGGGGGTGGCAGGAGGATGGGGATTCTTCCCAGTGGTGCCCAGGGACAGGACAAGGGGCAATGGGCACAAACTGGAGCACAGGAGGCTTGACCTGAATAGGAGAAAATCCTTCTGGACTCTGAGGGTGGCAGAGCCCTGGGACAGGCTGCCCAGGGAGGCTGTGGAGTCTCCATCCCTGGGGACATTCAAACCTGGACATGTTCCTGTGGGATCTGCTCTAGGGGATCCTGCTCTGGCAGGGGGTTGGACTGGATGATCTCCAGAGGTCCCTTCCAACCCCCACCATTCTATGATTTATTAACAAGAGAAAGGGACAATTGCTTTGGCCAGCACAGGGCTTGTGCATACTTTCCACCTGCAAAGGTCAGCAAGAATCCTGAGCAGTATGTAGCTGTCTTGCTGCTTTCCTTACTGAAATCTTTCCTTATTTGTCATAGTCAAACATGAATCTCTCACACTCCCCACTATGAAAGGCAGGATATTAGCAAAGTAGCTATAAGGTGCATCCTGTGTTTAAGTTAAGGAGTTTGAACATTTAAGGCTCTTTTCATTCTCAAAGTACTTTGCCAATGCTTCCTGAATTTCTCAGACTTCTTATATTACAGAATCACAGAATCCCAGGGGTTGGAAGGGACCTGGAAAGATCCCCTAACCCAACCCCCCTGCCAGAGCAGGGGCACCCAGAGCACATCACACAGGAACGTGGCCAGGGGGGTTGGAATGTCTCCAGAGAAGGAGACTCCACAGCCTCTCTGGGCAGCCTGGCCCAGGGCTCTGGCACTCTCACAGCAAAGAAGTTCTTCCTGACATTCACATGGAACCTCCTGTGCTCCAGTTTGCACCCACTGCCCCTTGTCCTGTCACTGGACATCACACATCAGCCTCCTCTTACACAACACCTGAACAAAGGCACACAAAGATCTGCAAGCCATGGAAAGGAGCAGTGATCCCCTGTCCAAAGGGAAGGGAGAACCTCTGGCTTTGCCAGTGCCTCACCACAAGGAGCATGGTGCTGGGAGGGGAGCTGGTCTCATTGCCACTGGCTTTAGGAGTCAGCGGGAACTCAGCACCAGGCTGCTTTGGAAATGGGCTGACAACACAGCACTGACAACAAGGAAACAACAGCTTCCTGGCTCGTGGTGTGTTGAAGCTCTGGAAATGGAGTTCTCCAGGCAGGGCTGCTTGCAAAGGGGAGATGGTGTCAGACAATCTCTTACCTTGCAGCAAGATCAGAGCCACGAGGTGCAGCGTCCTGGTGAGAGCCATGCCGGGCAGGAGGGCTGTGCTGGCTTCCTCTCTCTGCTGTGCTGGCAGGTCCCTTCTCAGCACGGGGGAGCAGATGTACCATGACTTCATCACTGCCGGGGTCTCTGCCCCTGTTCCCTCTCTCTGCTGTTCCACTCTCTTCTCCCCCGTCCCACGTTTCCTCTGTGTTGGTGACTGAGACATGGGTGACCTTGCAGGTCCCTGAAGTGAAACTGGTGGGTGACAGGACTGGGGACACTTCCCCTTGCACCCCCTCCAGCTCTGTCTTGCTCTGCTTCTGTGCAGAGAAGAGGGGGAGAGAGGTACATGGGGGGGGAAGCAGGTAAAGGTTAGGAGAAACATGGGTCTGGGGTAAGCCCTGCTGGGGACCCCTGCTGTAGTCACCCTCTGGGTGCAGGATTTGGTTCCCCAAGGTGTAACAGGTTGCCCAGGGAAGCTGTGGCTGCCCCATCCCTGGCAGTGTTGAAGGGCAGGTTGGATGGGGCCTGGAGCAACCTGGGCTGGTGGGAGGTGTCCCTGCTCATGCAGGGGGTTGGATCTGACTGGATGATCTTTCAGGTCCCTTCTAACACAAACCATTCCATGATTATATGATAAGGTGAGGAGGCACCCAGGAAGGCAGAGGTTGTTTGGGGGACACCACTATAGTGCAGGTTGCTGGAAATCCCAGATGTGTGGTTTAAATCGCCAGGAAAGGTGCCTTGTGTCACTCTGCATCTTGCAGGGCTGCATGCACAGGTTTGCTCTGCTCTGCTTGCAGCCATCCTGGCAAAACAAAGAAGCAACAGGTAGTTTGCTGTGTGTGGTTTGTGGCTCTCTGGGGAATGAAGAGTATGGGGGAGGTGGTTATAGAAGATTTGCTGAGCACTGAAGCATGGGGTGGAGGGATGACTACATCAAGGAAGTCTGAGGACCAATGGCAGAAGCTGAATTTCTCTTGTCCCCTTGCAGGTCTGATTATTTCAGGAGCAATCCAGGGCATAGCAAAGCTTTCTGTGTCTCCTGAGTGTGTGATGTCCAGTAGCATCACAGGATTTACCCAAGCCTGTTGTAGGCAGAGCCTCTTTTCATGATGGAGCCACATGACCTGATTTTTGGCAAGGCTTTGGTACCTCCTCTGGGCACTGCTCTGCAACTGCCCAACATTTAGTGCAAGTATCATCAGAAGGAGCTGACTTTAATAAGAAATATAATTTAAAAACCTGTGTGTATTTGCAGGACGTGGATTTGAGTGAGCTGGATAAAATGGTTAAGTAGAAATACACCATGCATTTCACTTCTAAGTTCTTAAAACCTCTTTTCATTAAATGTTGAGGTGGATGCAAGTGTGTATTAGTGGATTTTGGGGGGATAAAAGCAATGGCTTTTATATTAATGTTAATATAATAACTTTTACTGGAAAGCAGAGTTAGTTGGTTTGAAAGGAAAGCTGGTAAAACTACTGCTGGATTAAAAAATCCAGATCAAGGAAGATGAGGTGGTGTTAAAGGTCAGCATTGTTTTGGTTTCAAAGTTGTGCTTCCTGTTCTGCAGAGCCAAACCCATAATCAAATACCTTGGCACAAAAGCTACTGAGCAGTGGAGGCAGAGCCACAAACTGGAGTATTGTGTCCAGTTCTGGGCCCCTCAGTTCCAGAAGGACAGGGAACTGCTGGGAAGAGCCCAGGGCAGAGGCACAGAGATGCTGGAGGGAGGGGAACATCTCCCTGCTGAGGAAAGGCTGAGGGAGCTGGGTCTGTTGGGCTTGGAGAAGAGGAGACTGAGGGGCTACCTCATCCATGGGCACAAATCTGTTCAGGGCAGTGTCAGGAGGACAGAGCCAGGCTTTGTGCAGTGATGTCCAGTGACAGGACAAGGGGCAGTGGGTGCAAACTGGAGCACAGGAGGTTCCATGGGAATCTCAGGAAGAACTTCTTTGCTGTGAGAGTGCCAGAGCCCTGGGCCAGGCTGCCCAGAGAGGCTGTGGAGTCTCCTTCTCTGGAGACATTCCAACCCCCCTGGCCACGTTCCTGTGTGATGTGCTCTGGGTGCCCCTGCTCTGGCAGGGCGGTTGAACTGGGTGACCTTTCCAGGTCCCTTCCAACCCCTAAGATTCTGTGATTCTGCACACATGAAGGGCTTGATTCCTAAGCCAGCTTAGCCCACAGCTCCAACATGGTCAGTGGTGGCCCTTGCCCAGGGAAGTGGAGCAAACCCAGGCAGGAGGAAATCCCTGACTGAGCAATGAGCTTCTGGCCTGTCCTCAACATGTCCCAGCTGCTCCCAGCAAGGCAGGTGGATGGCACTGGAGGTGGTGCTGGCCAAAACTGAGAGAGGGAGATGCCCAGCTCCAGAGCGGACAGTCTGACAGTCCTGCACCCCTTCCTTGTCCACCCCTTGAGGAACTCCCACTGGCTGGTCCGC